TGTACATGAATCATAGAGTTCTAAATGAATTGTTTGATTATAATAAACTATTTTATTTATTTGTGCTTCAGTTTTTCAAACAAAGAACATGTAATGAATCATTCAGTTCCAATGAATCATTCGATTCTCTTGATTCTGAATCAACCTATTTTTATCATTCATTAGTGAATCATTCAATTGACTGATTCATATACTTTTTCGATTTATTTTATTTATCTTTTTATTTTTTTTATTTATTTATATATTTATTTATATATGTATTTATTTATTAATTTATTTTTAATTTATTTATTTTTTGAATTATTTATTAATGAATCATTCCGAACAGAATAAATTGTTCGATTGTAATAAATCATTAGAATTATTTTTAAGTCATTAAATGAATAATTTTTAAGAGAAACATTTAAGATTAAATGGATATTTTCGATTCATTAAAGTTTTGGTACAAATCAATTTGGTTATACATGGATTCATTTGATGAATCATTCAATTGACTGATTCATCAACTTTATTTATTTTATTATTTATATATTTATTGATTTATTTTTATATATATATTTATTTATTAATTTATTTTTATATTTATATATTTATTCATTTATTTATTTTTTTAAATTATTTATTAATCATTCCGAACAGAATAAATTGTTCGATTATAATAAATAATTAAAACTATTTTTAAGTCATTAAATGAATCATTTTTAAGTGAATCATTTAATAAAAAATGTATCATTCGATATTTTCGAATCATTCAGAATGAATCATTCATTAAAGTTAGTCTACAGTTAAAATATAGAGTAAATGGCGTTCTATTGAATACTAGATTTCTCTCAAAGTGATTCAATTGCATACCTATTGACGTGTTAGTTGAGTTTAATTTGCTCAATCACTAATGAAACTTCATTCTCTCAAGTGTCTTAGAAGACTCTCAATTAGGCAATCACTACAGTAATTTAAGACCGACTCATTTAATTGGCCTCTGCTAATCGAATCATTGAATCGTAACTTAATTCATTGAATTAACGCACAGAGCCCTCGAGCCACTTAGAGTTAAATATGATTCACATTACGTATTCACAGCTGAGTTAATGATTGATTCATAATTGATTAAGAGTATGATTCGATTTTCTGCTCGACACTTCCAACGACAGCTTTTAAATGGTTTAAGCTATGTGTGTTAATAAATCGGATATAATTGAATAAATGATTCATACACTTAACTAATTTCCCACAAATTATTCAAAGGACCAAAGGAAACTTAACAACTTTTCATGCTTGAGGCAGAGGAAAGGAAAAATCTTGTTTGGTTTTTATTCAAATAACTGCATTAGCTACTTCTTTGGCACATTTGTTTGCTCGACTGGCATTCAAACGATTCAATGAGTGTTATTCCTTGACTCTCGTGTGTGTGTCTCTGTGTGTGAGTGTGTGTGAGTGTGTGTGTGTGTGTGTGGCACGTGCATGACCCGAGCCTGCTTGGTGCCTGGCAATTTGCAACGCCTCGTTGTCGCGCCATTATGGCCAGCTGGGCCCCGGCCACGCCCATTGACAACAGAGCGCCGTTCTGTCCACCCGACAACGCCCACCACTAGCACTAACATCCCATGTAACTGCACCAGCAGCAGCAGCAGCAGCAGCAGCAGCATCAATGCAGCAACTCCGGCACTGACACTAATGCAGCAAAATTGAAGTAGATGCAAGTGAAAATGTCCTTGAGGCAGCGCTGGCGCTGCTGTTGATGCTGCACTTGCTACACACACACACCCAGACACACTCACACACACACACTCACACACACTCACACTTGTGCCCACACATATGCCGCTGTTTAACCGTTGCCCAGAGGCAAAATTCCTTTTATGCCTTTTCTCTCTTTCGCTCTTATGGCAGCTGAACAGTATATAGAAGTGTGTATGCCTATGTGTATGTGTGTGTGTGTGTTTGTCTTGCTCTCTAATATATGTGACTGTGAGTATGTGTTTCTGTGTGTGTGTGTGTGTTTGTGTGATTGCTTTTTATGGCTCTGGGAGTTTTGTGTTGCAGTTTTTTGTTTTTTTCTCCTTTTTTTTTTGGAAATGCAGCAGCAGCAGCACGTGACGTTACACGCACACACTCACTCTTGCACACACACATAGCCAGGCAGGCCACTGATGAAAGCAGAGAGCGAAAGAAAGAGTATATGTGTAAATTGCAGCTGCGTTTTGGGCATGTTTAATGTAATTACCAAAAGGCTTTCAATGCACACGAGCATTAAAGTCAGCGTCACTTGACAAGCACACACACACATAGACACACACACACCACTCCCAACGACTCTAGTTGTGCTTGGCTGCATGCCAAAAATATCATTCTATAAAATACGAGTTTAAGCACAAAGCCAAAGTCCAATAAGAAACTTCGAAATGTGCGCCAAGGCAGCTGCTGCTGCTGCTGCTGCTCCTCTTGTTGTTGCTGAGTTTTGGGGCAGGCTTTTGAAAAATACATGGCTTGCTACATGCTGCATGGCGCCAAAGTGGCAGCAGCGCTGTCAGCGTCCCTGTCGCAGCCGCCACTCAGCGAGCGGCAGAGAGAAAAGCAAAACGAAGCAGAAACAAAAATAAAGCGGAAAATAAAAGTAAAATGAATAAATAACAAGTCAGCCTCAATGTGGCCGTTGGCTGTGATCGACTGGCACATACCCTAACTCCTTCACTGGCTGCGCTCAAAGCAAACAAATGCCACTGCTCCAGTCCCCAGTGACTGACTAGCTGATACCCTGTACAGCCTATCGAGTTACACTTGCCTGTCGGGTTACAGCATCCTTAATGAATCCTTGATTGCATGAAGTTGCCTAAGCCTTGGTTACAGCCTTAACTGCTCTTACCACGGACACGTTTGAATTGAATTCCTATCGATTACACGGCAATGCGATAAGTTATCGATTATTTAACAGCGTGTTTGAGCTGCCTATGCTAGAGCAGCAGCTGTCTCTTGAGCTCTAGCTGACAGAGCGGCGACGGAACCGAGAGCTAAAGCAACTCGACTGCAACTACTGATCAGAAATATATGTATATATATATTTATATATATTCTTTTGTGAGATGGCCAAGTCTACAACCTGCCTTCAAAGTTCCGCCTAACTGGAATAATTCTCACATCAATAAATGTTTAGGCTTATTCGATTCGCACGAATCTGCTGTTTACTCTGCCTTCATTTTGCTATGTCATGTCTAAAGACTTTATACGCATATGCAGCCATTTTCGAGCTCAGTCCGTATACCCAATTTGGACATTTTCAATTTGCTGAAGGGCGTAAAAATATTCTGTTTGCGGTTGTTGTTGTTGCTGTTGTTGTTGTTGTCGTTGTCGCTGCACAAATATATGCGCCAATATAAATGCAGCTGCAATTGGCTGACATGAACATATATTGTTTTTCTATATGTATCTGTAATTATAAATGTATCTCAATCTGTATATGTATCTGCATCTGCATCTGTATCGGCATCTCTATAAATGTATCTGCAGCGCGTTTGTAGCTCTGAATGCCTGTGTCGCTGCATTTGTATCTCCATCTGGTTCAGTCCATTTCATTTTTACTTTTGTTATCTGCATCCGTATTAATGTGCATTTGCTGCAGGTGCAAAGGCTTCGGCTTTATGTCACGCAGCAAAACCAACTGACAGCCAGCCAGACAGAGATACCGAGCGAGCAATACAGACTTCAGTCCTCAACGGTTGAAAGTTTATTTGCAATTTGCATTGCAACATTTTTGTCCATTGAAATTTATTTGAAAATATTTTGATATATGAGAATATGCCAGGCGCTCTGCACAATGTATTGAAATTGATTTAAAAATAGTTCAAGGTAAATATCGAGTTGAGTAGAGAGAGCTACTCCGAGCAGAGCAGCTGCAGACAGAATGTTTCCATAAAATAGTGTACAGAGTAAGCACAGTTAAGCCTTCATAATAATTGTAAAATCTTGGCAAAGAACTGCTCAAAATACCCAACTCTGAGTCCGTTTACCTCTGCTAAATGTGCTAAGGTATTTTGAATAGATTTGCGAATTGAAGTAAGAAAAGTTCGAATTGTTGTTGTTGCTAGAGACTTGGCAGCTCAACTTGGACTTTCAATTTGCATGATAAAATATTAATTTGATAATATATATATATATATATATGATACAGTTTTGCTTTGAAATTGTTAACAAAGCAACTGCACACATTTGGGTGGGAGATTCCCCTCTGCTGAGTAAAAGTTAAGATCGCTGTGAATCAAGAAATGAAGTTCAAGCTAAAGTTTCTTGTAGTCCACAGATAAGAGTCTTAATATAGCTTAATTTATAATATAAAAGCTGCAGAGTGCAAGAGTTGCTGACTCTTCGCTTAGATTAGATTCCAATTCCCATTGAACTCTCTAAATAGCTGCAGAAAATGTTGTTATAAAATATATAAAGAGTGCAAGCTATGGCCAGGAAATAACTGTCGAAGGACAGGAGAGAGTGATTTCGATTACAAATTGTACAAATATGTATAGCTATATAGTATATGTGTAGCATACCCATAGCCATCGAGAGAGTTGCGCTGCTGTTGCTGCTCTCTTAGCTGCAATTTGCGCTCGGCAATCTTCTTTTGCTCCTCCTTTTGCTCGAGCTGTTCCTTTTGATGCTGCTGCTGCTGTTGCTGCTTCTTGCGATGCTGTCGATCCTCGCCGAGGCCGTAAAGGCCAGCAACGGCGGCCATGGCAGCAGCTGACTAACAATTGTTGCTGTTGTGCTGCAACGGCAACTGCTGCTGTTGCAGATGCTGCTGCTGCTGCTGTTGCTGCTGCTGTTGCTGCTTCTAGAGGCAGCTTAGCAAGCGTGGCGCCACTTCTGGCATTGAACTGTGGCGCTCTCTGCTCTGCTGCTGTTGCTGCTGCTGCTGCTGCTACTGATTGATATTGTTGATGTTGTTGTTGTTGTGGCTGTTGCTGCGGCTATTGTTGTTGTTAGAGTCGTTGTTGTTGCTGTTGCCATCTTTCTGCATTTCACTTAATCACATTTGATAATTCGCGACTTGCAACTGCAACATATGTGGCATAAATTTGCTGCTGCTGCTGCTACACTTGCCCCACACTTCCCACTGGCCCTCACCAACAATTGCTGTTGGAGGCTGGCGCCAGGCAGTCGACTTTCGTTTTCTCTTTTCTTTGGACTTTGCTGATTTACGCTTTGTTTTCGTTTTCGGCTGCAGCCGCAAAACACAAAAAGTGGCATGCAACATGACAGACTCGAGCCTTGAGTGTTGCCACTGTGGCTGCCACAACGGCTGCCACAGTGGTTGCTGCTGTTTGCCACATCAGTTTTTCGTTGTCTGCAAGAATCGCTGCATACCTCGCGGCGCCGCAGCGGCAAAACTTTTCTTTTGCCCGCGTTTGCTGCGCAGAAATCAATTAGCAGCCAGCCACCCCTCCCCCCTCAGGCCCATTTTGACAGGCCCGAAGCTTTTCCCTTCAGCCCTTTCGACCACAATTGGCGCACATTTATGGCCCGATTATGTGGCAAGACCCTTGAAATTACGTAAACTTCAAAATGCGTTACGTAAAAAGACGGTCGTAAATAGCGAGCGTCGTAGCATTAACATGTTAATCTCCATGTTAATGTGCATGTTAATGACGCAACTGCGCATGTTGCTGTTACAGCAACAACAGTTGCTGCCGCTGCTGCTGCTGCTAATTGCAATAATTTTAAGCATATCGAAGCAATTTCCATACCAATCGAAAGCCGCAAGCAAATCAAATCGAATCGCTTTCCAAGGTAAACACACACACGCACACACGCACACACGCACACACATCGCTTTCAACAGGGCAAACAGAGCAAACAACACTCAGTGGAAGACTTGGAAATGAATATGAAATGAACACACATTATCTCAATCTCTCGCATTGAATCAGTGGCAATTTATGTTCGATTACATAGAAATAAAGAAAGAGAGAGAGAGAGGGGTAGAGAGAGAGTTAGAGTGAGATAGAGAGAGAGGAGAGCTGCTGACAGTGTATCAACTTGATAAAAGAGCTGCTGAAAATTACAAAGCAATTGCATAGGACTCTGCTGCAAGAACTTAGATACAAGATACGTTGCAAGTGAGAAGCCGTTGCAAGTGCGCGTGTATAAGATAAGTGGCATGTTGCAAGCATGCAATATACATTACGTCTCCATTTCAGACTCGCCTGAGTCAACGTCACGCACAGAGCGCCCTAAGGCGGGCCAAGCTTACTTTAAAATAAACATGGCTGAGAGATGGGCGCGTAATATAAGTGGATATCGGAATGGAATGAAGGCAAATATCAATCAAATGGCAATGGTAATTTAACATGGATGCGTCAAGCTGCAAGGCCTGTAAATATTTGCCAATTTGTAAAATCCAGCGATCCATGTGAGTTCAGAGAGAGATAGACTAAGGAAAACTCATCACATCTCATGTGAGCTTGATGCTATTTAAGAGTCAGATTGACGAGACTTAACAGTTATCCAGGTGTCAGCTTAGATGCGTCTGAATAAACTGCTTGTTCTACAGGCAAAAGCGTTAAGGAAGAGCCCAGGGGTACATGATTATTGGGAGATTCAGGAGAAGACCAAAAAATCTCTCGGAAGATTAGATTGTCAGCCAAGCAGCCCAGCTAGCAGTCCAGTTCAGGCAGCACAAAGGACAAGGCTCAGGCAACAGCTCCCTCAGGACCTACCTGAACGTGTCTTAACCCAAAATCAATTAGCCCCTTAAGATTTTGTAGTTACACGCTGCATCTCCTTGCAATCCTTGGGCTTGTAATACTTTGGTTACTACCAAACTGACTTGGCTAAGATGCAAATGCCAAACTATTTATTTGTTTAGCAATTAATTCAATTTATATTTGTATTTTAAATATATTCCCTTGACAATTATTTGGGCAGAATCTTTATTCTTTACTTCGCAGCGACAACAAATCAGAGCTGAATGGCGTTCGCTCATGTGGCACTGCGAGTGACAACGTATAACGCAGCCGGGCAGCGTTTAATGGACCACAGGCTGAAGCTGGGGGCAGCTATTGAGCCTGCTAAGGAGGGGGATCCATGGCTGTTGGGGCGGGTGGTCAGCAGCTGGCACTTGTCGTTGGTTTTGCTGGCGCAATGAAAATTGCTTCCGTGTCGAAATTGAGTTAACAATGCTCGACTGGCTGCTCGTCAGGTTGCCGTGTGGCAAGTGGCTGGTGGCATGTGCCAAGTGCCAAGTGAAAATCGTATATGTGAGTGTGTTTGTGTGAGTGTGAGCTGCAGGTGGAACTGCTCCCATTTGGCATGTCGCGCGCCATTCTATTGATTTATGCGCCTCCACACATCACGTATACGACAAGTTGTGCTGCTGCTATTGCTGTTGGTGTTTTCGTTGTGGTTGTTGCGCTGTTGCACTAATCTGACTATTAAGTGCATGGCTTACAATGCAATGCCAAACACTTGCATCAGCGTCGACGTAAGCGTATTAGCCTGCAAACCGATTTCCACCCAGTTTCAAGTGCAAGTCCAAGCACCCGCCCAGGGTTATTTGCTGGGTATAGGAAAACAGGGGGGCCCATAGGCCCACCCAAGGTCAGGGTCAGTGGTAAGCCTAAACTGAAAGAGAAACAGAGGCAGGGACAGAAAAACAGAGAGAGAGAGAGAGAGGGGAAAGCACGCCAATGGGCAGTCCATTAGAGGCGGTCACTACATTAGCCTATGCGAGTGTGTGTGCGTGACTGTGTGTGTGTGTTTGTGTGTGCGTGGCTGTTCTGGCATGTGCGTATTAGTCTGTGCGTGTGTGGTGCATTAGTGATGGATCCCCTTCATCCCGTCTTAATATCTTCGTGTCTGCTTCTTTGCTAATCGATATTTATCGATAACTTGAGCAAGTTACACCATAATTAAATGAAAGATAATACGAGTCCTGAGATTACCAAGACTTATCTCTGCGATAGTAATAATATGTTTGTGTCTGTCTTTCTGCCTATCGATATTTATCGATAACTTTAAAAATCAACGCTATAATTTTATGAAAGATTTCTAACTCTTATTTGGCGATAGTAATGGGTACCTTCTTCCCCTAATATCTTTATGCCTTGATATTTATGTCTATCGATACTTATGTCTATCGATATTTATGTCTATCGATATTTATCGATAACTTTACCAATCAACCCTATAATTTTATGAAAGATCATACAAGTTTCTAGATTTCAAAATCATATGTGCATTAGCAATGGTTTCCCTTCATCCCCTATTTCTGTCTTTGCGTCGTTCGATACTTATCGATTGCTATTACAATTTACACTGCTTTAAAGCCCAATCATACATGTTTCACAGTCTCGAATTCTTATATGTCGATTAGCAATATGTATTTTAAGCGAATTTCTAATTTTGATATTAATCGATATTTTTGTTCAGCTAAATTAACTCAGCAGCCATTCTCTGTCGCAAAATCTGTGAATATTTATCGATTCAGAAAAAACGCTTCTACAATAACAAGACATTGAGTTCATAACATTAACACGTAATCGATAATTAATCGATAATTAGTGTTTTCCACATTTTATTGGCATCTCTGAGACGACTTTCACGATGATGCCATCCCCAGTGGACCGAGTGCATCATGCAATGCTCATCAACATTATCATTAACATTAATATGCGGCGGTTATCGCTGCTGCCGCTGCATCTCAACTGGTGCGGCTCGTTATTAAATTAGAATCAACTAAATTAAATGAGAGTGTGCACACGTGTGTGTGGTTGGGTGTGCATGTGTGTAAGTGTTCAAGCAGAAAATAAGCGTCGAAGCGCATCGAGGCAAGCAATGAGTAGGCACCTCCCACCCACCGAGCACCACCCACCACCTCCCACCCATCGAGCACCGCCTGACCTGCGCCCCCTCAACTGCCAAAGCTTTTAATTGAGCTCTGCGCTAATTTGAAACCAACGACGCGGCTCTCATTGGCCAAAAGTGCGAGCGAGAAAGAGAGAGACAGAGAAGGAGAAAGGCAGAGAGCGAGAGGGAACGGGTGTGTATAGCTGCTGCTGTAAGAGTTTTACGAGTGGGCGTATGGCTGGCCACATAATGCGTATTTAATGCGCTTTAAGCGGCCAGCCCTTCCAACAGGTAAAAAGCCAATCCCCAAAAAGAAAAAGTAAAGTTAGCTGTTAAAAGGGACATAAAGACGTAATGACAATGACTGAAAGAGGTGGAGACAGCAAGAGAGAGAGAGAGAGCTAGGAGAGAGAGAAAGATCAAGGCAGCTGCCATAAAGTAATTAATGTTTATGAATCATAAATCTGTCAAACGCTTAAACAAATGTGAGTTGCAAGCAACAGCAACAGCAACAGCAACAGCAACAGCAACAATTTGTATTTCTCATCGAATAATAATTAAAAGTTCAATGAAAATTTATTTGCTTTACCGCCTCATTCCACAGAGTTCTAGCTATTTTTAGCTAGCCTTGCGGTATTTTTATTAATGGTGCGCATATTTATATAAACATGCATGTATATAAATATAAATATATATATATATATACATATATATATATATATATATATATATTTATATATATGCAAAACAGGATAAATTGAATTTGCTTTTGAAATGGAAAATTGATTTGTGTTTAGCGTTTTAAAGCTTTAACATTTATGTGAAATAGTCTTTGAGTTTTCCTTAATGGGAAACTGTTGCAAAATTATTTTATAACTTTTTTATGTTAGGCTTCAACAGGCCAGGCCTAGCCCACTTCAGTTCAATAGGAATTTTGTGTTGACTGCCTGCCAGAACACACTAAGGAGAGAACACTCAAGGAGCTGTTTCTCGCATCTCTTATTAGTTTCCGACTTGCCTTTGAGATTTTCATTTAGTAAATTTCCCACTTTTATACAATTTTCTAATAAAATTTCATTGCATATTGTTTGGAGTCAAGTTGTTAGAGGTTAGGCTAAGCCAACTCTACTGACATTATATAGTCGTTTGTTTTCAGTTTTCCTTTGAGATTTTACTCTATAAAATTCCTCATTACAACATAATTTTCCA